AACGGCTCCGCCACGCCGCGCCACGCACCGCACCTCCCCGCGCCACCACGCCACGCCACGCCGCGCGCCGCGCCTCGTGCCTCAGCAAGCCGGGGAAACGCCAGGCGACGCCAGTGCCACCACAGGCGCCGCGCTTCCGCTTTGGCTCTGCGAATTCTACGCGCGCTTCGCAAAAGGCTCTGACCTTGTTCCCAAATATTACAGAATCCTCATCCCACCACAAGATGATCATGAAGAAAAACCGGGGGATAATTAAAAAAAACACGAGAGGTGGCTCAGGGCCACCCCTCGTTGCCCGTACTTACGTTACCCTCCGCTTTGGCTCTGCGAATTCTACGCGCGCTTCGCCAAAGGCTTTAAGTTGGTTCCCAAACATTACAGAATCCACATTCTACCACAAGATTATCGTGAAGAAAATCCGGGGAATAATTGAAGAAAAAAAACACGAGAGGTAGCTCAGGGCCACCTCTCGTTGCCCTTACTGGAATGTCAGGGTTCGACTTATGTCACTTTAGTGTCTCAGTCTGGCAGGTCCTAGGTACGAGTCCCGACGGAGGTAGGATTTTCGTCACTACCTAGATAGCTAAGGTCCAGTTCAGTCGCTGTCTGGAGGAGAATTCTAGCGGCCGGCTGCTCTGATCTGTGTGATTCCGTGGTTTCTCCTACCAAGGCCAGCCAAATGCCGAAGCAGTACTCTAAACAAACGGGCCACGGACCGCGCGTGATTTTTTTCCTGCCTCATCCTTGTCCCATCCTCAACCTTTACTTTCAGTTTCTCTTTCATGCAATACTCTACTACACATGTCGGGGGCCTAGTTTGTCCCGACTGGGACGGTGCCCCCTTGTGGGAGATACCTGGTTTAGGAAAACACAGTAAGCCGGATCTTGCCATTCAGCGGAGGGAAATATCACCGCCATCTTCTGCGATAAAACATGCGCTAACCTTTCGGGACTAATGACCTTAGCAGTTGACGCTCTCAGAATCACTAGCAATCAATCAATATTTTTCTCATTATTTGTAACTTATGCTATTTTCGAAACTTAAGAGAGTTCATCGAAAATAAGACCTGCACCTGCTTTAAAGTATTCCTAACGGATATGAATGTATTTAGAATAAAATAGATAAGGGTAAATTGCCTACATATTCCTTGTGATGTAATGACTGATAACTGTTGTAATTTTTTCTGTAATTAAACGGAGCAATGGAAACAAATAATGATGATTTCTGAATACATTTCATTCCATTCATTGCACGGTTAGGTAAAAATAACAAGTATAGAAAATAATTTATAACAACAATAATAACCTAAGTTTATATTGCTTTCTAAATAACTTAGGCAACCTTGAACTCAAAATTGATTATTTGGTTTCTGGTTCAAACAAATGAATTCATTGATAGAAAAGTGATGGTGACTAGAATACATTCACTCAGTCTTCAGTGAAATCCGCTATCGTCGTTCCTTTGCATTACTATAAAAATAATTTTAATTTGTATGTTCCCAACGCCACGAGAATGATTCGGTTAATATATAGTGAACATTTAAAAGGTTGTCTTAAAATGTCAATCATTTCAAAATACATAAATTAAATAATAATTACATATTTTTGATTCGAAATTAAAATTTCTACTTTTTTCAGACCACTGCTTTTTCGCATGCCGATCAATATAAAATGTTTAACTACCGACAGTTTCTCTGGTCTTTAGAAAAACAAACAATTATTAGAAATTTTCTGATTTTCAGGGTACTTTTTAACAACTCACCGAAGAAAAACTGTGTTGAAGAATAAGATACCGACATCAGTAAATAATTATATTTCTGTAGCACATGATTTAACATGAACATACTATAGTTGTGGTTCACATTAAATCTTTTCCTTATTTGTCATCCAATAATCTGAGTTTTGTTGGATTAATTTTACCACATTATGTGAGTGGAAGGCCTGTCCCTAAGAACATGAGCTCAGAGCAGAAAATATTTTTAAAAATACATTTTTTTGAGTAATTGTGATTAAAGAATAGAAGAAACAGACATAAGTTTTCCTTTATCAAAGATTGAAAAACGCCCTAGTGTTTAACTTAAAAACCGGACAAACTGCATCCATTACACGCAGGTATCAAAAACATTCCTAATGTATTTGTGAGCATCTAGAAAAAGGAACACAATTTTAAATTCTAAGATTTTTTTCCACTTCAACACATACAGCGTCGTGTCGAAAACATCCCTCTTCTCTGCTATTTCCGGTGAGGCTTTCGGTATAAGGGACCACGGGCATGGCCGCTATTAACAACAGAAAGCAGCAGCTACACAAGTTAAGGGAAACGACCTGTTGTCCCCTAAAGATCATTTGTCATGGCTCACGGAAACCGTGCAGCGACTCTTTCTTAAGCAACACCGGAAGGAGGGCGCATGCCCCCAAACACACGTTTTCTCGGTTTCTAACTAAAAAACGTGGAGTTGCTACCGGTTGGCCATTTTTATGTTCGTATCACAGACATTTTACATTCGCGATGACTGTTTTTATATTCGTACTAGTTTCCAGCTAAAATAAACCGATGCAACTGTTCCCACTGTATAGCCAATGACCAGGGGGTTCTAGGGTTTGAATGCCGACGCTGTCAGTGTTTCGAATCTAACTAAATAGCTAGGTCAAATTGAAAGGGTGAAAACCAGAATGGTGTAAGTGATATTTTATAAATTCTGAGAAAAACGTGTTTATTTTAGACATTTCAGTGCAAATGTAATTTTGTGGTGTTAATGAACAATTAAAATGTCGTGGTTTTAATGATGACACAAAGTACCACAACTCTATAGTGATATTGAATTAAAAAAAAAACAGTTTTATCACAATGTACAAAATGACACTCACGCCGTTCTGTTTTCCACCCATTCAATTCAACCTCTGGTGGAGAATTCTAGCAATAGTCTGCTCGGATTGATATTTCTTTAAATTCTCCAATCAGCACCGGTCGAATGGCTAGAAGAGAATACCTCACCAAACAGGCCCCAAGCCGTGTGCGATCTTTCCTTCCTCATTCTCGCCCCTTTTATCTCCTTACACTCACACACACATACACACATGTACTACACCACCAAATATGTCGAGACACGTGTCGAGAGCTAGCTTGTTCTGGTTATGGAGGTGCTACGCTGACGGAGATACTGAAGAACGAAAATCTCACAGTCCGACATGTAGGTCGGTACAGGATATCACGTTCCAGATGGGGAGAAACACTGCCACCTCTGCAAACAGTCAAATGACTCGGACTCGTGGAACAGGAGTTTGCGAAGGTACTGTGGCGTCATATCTGTCGCCAGTACAAACGTACTATATCAGCCACGTGGGCAGCGCTGGCGGAAGAGACGCTGGGCTGCAAAAAGGCTAGGGAGCAGGGGAGGGGGGGGGGTTCGTGGGTGGCCACGGGGAGACCCCGGACCCGGCGGAAACGCGTCGGCGGACACTGCGGGTGACGCAGTTCCGTCGGCCTGCCCAGAAGGTATATAAGCGGATCCCGACCTAGCTCGATCTTCTGTTTTCATCTGATTCTTGGGCGCGTCGGTAAGGCGTCGTGTGGGTTGTGCGCGGCGTTGCATTGTAATGCATAGGCGACCGAGGCGGGGAACCGAAGCCGGCGTGCTACGTCGTGACGGTAGGTGCGGCATACTCGCTGGTATGCTCGCGTAAGGTACTGGTGCATCACACCGAACATGGTAATTAATTATCGGGCCAGCGGTGGTGGTAACCAGGGAAAGTTCTTTCTTGTAACGGTCAATTTATTTGTAAATATTGTATATAGTATTATGGTGTCGGAGTATTTTATTTCTAATAAATACTAAATATTTACAAGCCGTTCACGTCTGTAATTTATTGCCCCGGCAGGACGCCACAGTACGTCCAAGTACGTGGACACTAAAGTTGTGAGGTCGAAACCCACGTGGAGCATTAATTCTTTCAGTTGTGCATGTGGCGTGCGGCTTGGCCTGAAAGACAACTGTGTGCAATCTGTGTGAGTAGTTGAGGAACTTGATCCCTACACTTAGAACAATTTTAATTTCCTTTTTAGTTTCAAATATTAAATTATAATTAAATTTCAGACATTTTCCCTTCTATGTTTGCCTATGATGAACTATAAATGAGGTAAAATATATTTAGGAAATTTACTCACTTAATCTCGTGTTACGAAATATCTGCACACATCACATTAAAATTCAAAGATTGACACATGCAAAATAGTTACAATTTACCTAAAATCAATATCTATCGTTAAGTCAAAATATTTTTGGACATTTGTTTCGGCGAAACATTTCCCTTCGTGGTCGAGTGGTTGGTGACGCGACGTAGGCCGCGGAAGTCGGTGACAGAGGGCTTCCGGCGGTGCCATTCTGCTGCTTTCGCCACGGAGCTCGCGGCGGCATTGTGTCCTTATCCCCCCCAGCGCCGCTCCCATTTGGAGCTTCGGCGCGTACAGTTTGTCAGTATGCAAATGGATACACCACCACAAATCGCTTTGTTTCGTGCAGGTTTTGTCTGTAGCGAACGTACATTTGCATCTGCTAGTATACAAAACGTTACGTAATTATGAACTGCACTCGTATACGTACGTATACAGGATGAATTATTTTGGTAATAAAATAAAGGTGCCAAGGTGCCAACGTATTTTCCTCGGGTAGATAAACAAATTTTTCGTACGGAATTTTACTGAGAAACGCTGTTTTTCTGTATAGCTGTACACCGGTGATTTCTTCTCTTTGAAAGTTGTGATTATAGCTAATCTAATGAGAGACCTAGAGATTTTTGAATAATGCCGAGGTAAGATGGAATAATTAATTTTTTTCGGGCAAAAACAAAGAAAAAAGAAAATTTGTGAATTGACGGGATTGTGTTGCAAATTACGACAGCCCTGAATTGCGCGTGACACTGTGATCGTGCTCGATTTTCAGCCATCAGGAATTTAGCTCGCCAGACTGTCGTTGGAATTGCTGTGCACTCGCTCTTCACAAATGACGCTAGTGACCCCTCGAGTCTACAACAGTACACCGAGTGTTGGAAATGCACTTGAAGCTGCGGTGATATTGAAAAAATTTAAAAACAAACTATTTAGAGTGTTTGAACTGTTAGATTAAATTAAAGACTTCATAAAACATTAATTCTATATGAAAACCAATCCTAAGAGTTTTTATAGCCCTAAAAAGGGAGATACCTGTTTGAGGAAAACCTCACAAGCCATCTTGCGAGAAAAAATATATGCACTATACTTACAGGATTGATTGCATTAGGAGTTAACGCGCCCGGAATCACTAATCAATCAGTGAATTAGAAAGTGTGCAATTGGGGGCTCTCCTTTAACAAGTCCAATCATGTGTTCCCTTCTGCTGCTGGTTTTCGCCGTGCCGTAAGCGCGGAGTGACGGACGCGCGACGTTGCAGGCTCTCGGCGTTCCAGGCGCATGCCGCGGCCGCAGCTCACAGTAATAGTCTACACCGGATGGAGAGATAAAGCCAAAGACTGCCCGTAAACTCTAAAATATGAATACGGGGAACGCATTTCGTGAATCACCTCGAGATGATGCTCCGATACGCCGCTGTTTATGGCGTGGCGCTCGCCGCCCGCCATCACTTGTCTTCCACGCCCCTCCCCCTCCTCCTCCTCCTCCTCCTCCTCCTCCCTTTTCCACTACTTGTGGCTCTCGTCGGGTGGAAGCTCGCGGCTTCATGGGGCGGCAGAGGTTTGCCAGTTTTAAATTGAAGACGGGCCGGAGATAGTGGTGGTATTTATGAGGTGCGGGTCATAACGCGCTGCTTTCAGGAATGTGCGTACTCACTTTTTGGTCTAATAAAAACTTAATCCAAAATTACTTGACCAACACACTTAAGCGTAGCGCACTTAGTTTATAGCATTTTTATTAATATTTTTAACCGTATTTTTCTGTCCTTAGAAAATTGGTCTAATATATCAATTGTCCGATCGTGTTGGAATAACATTTCAATGAAGTAAGTCCTTAGCATTTTCATCCCAAAGTAAATTTCGTTCTGACAGTTTTTACTAGGAAAAAATGGTACAATATATACTGTTCGATTTTGATGGAGTGTATCAGGGCATGCTGCACATTGTAGACAGACAGGAGAGTAATATAATATACAAAAAATGGACAATATGTTACAAGGGAATTTCCTACATTGAAATTTTAAAAATTATTAGTAAAGTATTAGTATGGCTACTGTTATCTTTTAACAAGAAAATGACAAGGAAATATTGCCAATAAAAAAATCGATCTACTTGTAATGCACGTTGCGTTAGAAATGTAATTACAAAAAAAAATCATATATAAAATTAATCTTGCTGGAATATTTACTCACCGCGATGAATTTGTAACAAAAGGAGTTAATCAAAGAATAAAAAAGACCACTAGGAGATCACTAAATCAAGCTCTAGATGCAATCATTAGATTGTCTAACTATTAGATCCGTTTTGGATCAATATAATTATATTGACTGTCCATTTTCTTTAGTCTATTAATTAATATAATAATGTATCGTAATTAATCTATGTACATATTTTATTGCAAGAAATTCATAGCGACACATTTTATAATTTCATGTGGATCCACGCACCATCCACAATTATTAGGCAGCACTTAAAAAATATATAGTTAACATATGAATAAACCATGAAACAAAGATTCCTTATCACACAAGAGTACTTCACACACAAAATTAATTCATAACTTAAAACATCTTTGCACTAATGTATACAAATGTATTGAATAATACACTCTTCTAAATATGAAATTCGCGTAGAATGAACAAACAATTCTATTTAATATTCATACAACAGGAATAATCCATCCATTTTGACTTTTAAAATTGTCCCATATAATTTTTGAAAAATGAATGTCAAGGGTATTTAATTTTTAAGGTCATATAATTTCTTCAATTGTCAAATATTTTACAAAGCCATAACAAATTATCATCATCAAACCACATTCTCCCCATTCTAGTTCAACAATTTTAAATCTATTCAAACTATAAAAACGATAATTAATTTGACTCAATATGTCAATAACTTCAATTTCTTTTCTAGATAATTTAAAAGTTTTATTTTTTTATGATGATCTACAATAATACGAATATTACTTTCACAGAGTCTACGGTTTTCAAAAATGCCTTTTTTTAATGGGTCCATCGCGGTTTATAGCAACATCAGGTACCACGATATCAAATGGATAAGATATTATCGTCTTTTATACCCTATTTAGATTTTCTCTATTTGAATTATCCTTTCAATTAATTCAAGCGTTGGCAGGAATCCAAACAAAATAAATTTTGAAATTAGAATTGCAAGTTGGCATAATATCTTGATTTCTGACATGATATACGATTGATTTGTAATTTCACTTCTATTAGGCAGATTAACTTAGACACTCATCGAGTCAGAAAATATGATCTTGTGAGGGTTGTAATCAAGCCGTTAATGGAGCTAAATAGTTGGAGGGGTGAGTTATCATGCTTCGACATTCCTTGTTTTAATCACGGAGGTCCAATCGTAACTGCTACGATTATAACTGAGTATATAGATCGATAAAATAATAGAATATATAATATATTATAACAATAAGTAGCTGAACCCCTATGATCACATCGCACAAAAAATAACTAGAAAAGTTACAATATAAAAGTACAACGTATGCATTATAATGAGAATCTAAAACCTCAAAATATTGTTTCAATTTTGTCATGTCAGTACTTATTTAAGAGTAATTAAATGATAACGAGGGAGGTTTAAAAATTTGGGAACTATCACATTTCACTGTGAACTTAGATTTAAACACGTTTCTGAAAATGTAATTGAAATGTTTTATTTTTACAAATGTATTTCACCAATGCTATAGCACTGACATCTGATATCCACCTTTACTTAAAAGCGCAATGCATCACATAATTATATACAAAGATTTAAAGGGACACATATGTCAAACTGTTTCTGGAAATTAGATTTATATACACTCCATAGTATTTTCATTCAAAAACACTGAATTTTGGAACTCACAAAGATCTCTAAACACCCTTCGCTAACTATATCCCCACGGAATGTCGATAGATCGATAGCAATTCGCCCAACACAAAGACCAAGAACAACTGCAATCCAACTTGATTATGCAATTGGTCTTCAGTGCGATGTTCCAACAAATAAAGGCAGTTTAGTGTCCATTCTATTAATTTTAACATTATTAAAATTTAGTAGTAATGACATATTTAGGATTCACTCCTATTCATGGAAACAACATAAAGAAGAGAAAAATCAGGGAGAATTCTGTATTAAAAGAAAATATTTAGATTTAAGTTTTTTAATCGTAAAGAATAAAATTACAATAGTTTATTCTTTAATTGCCCTACTGAAGAGTAGGAGGCCTTTGCCCTATTGTAACGTCGTGTGTAGGGATCTACACCACAAGGAAACAGACACGAGTGAGTATATACAAGTTTTATTTACACACTGTACATATTTACATCCCTCACTCTAAGGCGGTTTGCCAGAGCTACCACTGCAGCCCTCCTCTCCCTACGTCCCTCCCCAGCCTGCAAGGCCGCGTCGCAGATAGGCACCTGGTGTGCCCCGGCAGATTGACGATCTGCCCGAATGTGTTTGAAGAACACATCACCCTGTCCGAACTCGTCGAACACCCACGTGCCCTCGGCACTCCGCACCAGCCTGGGCGGACAAAGTTTTTGTGGTCTAGCCACGAGGAAACCAAAATCGTTACCCACCCGCGCCGTCTCGCCACGGCGTCTTTATAGGTCCAGGTCACCTGACCTCCTACGTCACTACTCCCCACCCCCGCGCGGTGGAAAGCCTTTCCCTGGCGCTGCCTGGCCCGCGGACCATTTCCTGTCGGGAAAGTCCCGTCTTTGTTTGGGCGTCTATCTTTAGATCCCCCAGCCCTCTACCTTGCACTCGGCTGCTGCCAAGCCGTGACGCTACACTATATGGAATGTTACACGAGATATTATTACTATTACTTACTTTTCATTTAAAGCAAATATCACTTAAAGCACAGAAGTTTGGTCGAGTAAAAAGCTTTTCGTTCTAAACAAAAAATGTAATTGTATATTAAATACACTGATAATTATTAGTGATTATTAGGATTTCCAATCGTCTTCTTGCGTCGATCTTTTTAAAAGAATGGTTTGCTTATTCACTTCTTTTTTCTGTAACTGTTAGCATATAATACAATTTAACGCCTTTAATTGCAAAAATATAACTTAAAGATAATAATTTAACAAAGAATATGAACGAAAGTTTTGAAATAACTGGTGTATTAGAATATTGGTTTATTGGTGATTTTTCGTTGGTGGCATTCCAAATAACTAGAGGTGTCTTTCACAACAATATTATTTATTGAAAGAGCGGCTTTCAATGGCTTAGCTATCGTCGTCGGTTACCGGACAATAATCACATAAAATATTAAAATATGGGATAATGGATTATTAATAGAAGATTGATTGAGAATTTGGTAATATACACTGTGTGATCAGAAGTATCCGGACACGTCCAAAATGGTGTTGTGGTGTGGTCGTTTTTTTCATGGAGGGGGTTTGTACCCCTTGTTGTTTTGTGTGCTTCATATACAAAAACAATTAATTACCAATGTTAATATTTTTATAATCAATAGGACCTCGATCTTCATTGTATCAATCAGCATATTCGACTATTGTCACCAAGTTTACCCCTTGATCACCATTAACCTTTCCCAGGAGGTCGTTACCAACCTTGTTTGTAACACTTGGTTAAAGTAAAGAAAATATTTTACAAGCATGAATTCGTAAAAATAAAGTAGTTTGTGAATTAATAAATCAGTTTTGTTGAAATGAATCAATGAAAATGCTTAAAAGCATGTATTTCTGATTATGGTAACCGTTGAACTCACCTTGTGCGCTTATAAAAGTCTCCACTACTTCGACGGCGCTAGCGTCTTTATCCTATCGTCTTTCTGGTCGATACGAGGGTCGATGCGATCTCTGTGAGGCACAGTACGCTCTCATTTATCGTCGCGCCGCCGCCAGAAACAGGTGTTGAAGTTCAGAGCCAACGGCAAGTCAGAGAGGTCGAGTTCGGAACCAGGAAGGGGGTACTGTTCTGCTGGCAAAAGCAAAGCGCTCACTTTAGAAATAAAAAAACAACAAGTAATATATTTTTGAGAAATGTTTCAAAGGTATTAAGTGAAATAACATAGCTCCAAGCTCGATAATGTAACCGTTATTTCTATTTCAGCTCTCGCTCCGAGATTTATGCTCGACTCCCCCGCGACTTCGATGGAGAATCCAATGGTTGCAACAACGAATAAATTCTGAAGCAAACGTGAGTAAACATTCTGTATAAAACGGTTGGTTAATTTCGGGCTTACGGTGCACCTCAGTCCCGACTGCCTTCGTTGTCACGGCCTCCTTAATATTACTGTATGTATCGTTCACTTCTGATTCTTGGGACGTGAAAGATAGAAATGATTCATCACGTGCGTGGTACATTTAAACACTAGGTTTACACGTAAATCGGAAGTTGGCGATGTCTTGTTCACGCGCGCGGAATTGCGACGCTTTGCAACGCGTGTCTAAGTCTCTGACCTTCGGCTCTCACGTTAATATAAAACATACTTGAGTCTATCCAACACATAATTACCAATGCATTTTATGCAAATACTCACCTTAAAAATCATTTGGCGGGTATATGTATGTGTTCCGATCATTTAAATGTTTCTCAAAATTATATAAACGATTCGTTTCTTGTGAACGATAAAATTCCTTGGCACTGATTGGAAAAGAAGCTCATCTCACGTCAAGGCAAACGTCGAGGAAGCCTGGTTTAAGGTGCCCCGTAAAGTCGGGAACAGCCAAAGGGTTTGTGAGGGACAATAATTTACATATGTAAGTTACCAATGTTAATTCAAGGAAATCAAAGATTTCAATGAGTATTTAAACATTACTAAAGGTTCCTTTACTGAGATTGCGCACCTCTTTCTTTATAAAAGGGTCTGTGAGGGACAATCATTTTTATGAGAGAGCTTGCAACATTAGTGCAAGACAATCTAAGATTTTAATGAGTATTGCAATGCACATTGTATTTAAACATTACAATAAGGAAAGATTCCTTTATTGAGGTTGTGTTCTTCTTTCTGTGAAAAATTGTTTGTTTTCTTTATTTTCAGAAATGATATTATTGTTCAATTATTGTTTGTGCTGTGATTTTTCGGCAGTTCGATTTATTTGTCAATATCAATTGTTATAATGTGGAATCTTACTGAATCATTATATCAGTTCAATGGGGGAATTAATGTATTTCTGTTAAGTATGGCCTACAAAGATTTCCCGATCCCATATCCAAAAGGTTGTAATACTGAGATAATATAAACCAATATAAGAATCCATCAAATTCACAAGAAACGTTTGAGGATGTAAGCCTGTTCGCAATAATATTCAGACACATAACTGTAATGCGTTTGCTGTCAAGATAGTAGTAAAAGTTTGTCCTTGCCAGAATTTATAAGATACCCTTGCAGTCTGATGTATTGATACGAGGTTGTTTCTGGTGCTTGTGGCAACAGTTTCATGAAGTGCGGCATACGTCATCCGATGTTTCTAGAGGTCTTAGTGGAGAAACGGCAATTGACGACCATATATATTCACGTTCACCACATAATGGTAAATACAATTATTCTCCAATTAATATTAGTCTTGTCAATGCCACTGTTCGCAGTCTTTTAGAACATTTTTTTATTAGAGTTACCGCGTGTCACAGCAAATTTCAGGAGAGCGAAGTGCAAAGTTAGCAAAATGTGCACATACAATTAGTGAAGGACTTGATACAGCGATGAGATGGTACCACTGACAGTTCGATAAACGATGAATCGTAAAAGTATTTAACGCGTGGCCGTCAATGGATTTTTTGAGCTAAAAACGATTACCACAAGACACAACTATAACTAGTTATCAGAAAAACTACTAAATCATCATTTAAAACTAGTTTAATGGTAATTAACTGCGCAACAATTAATTTAATTGCTCTTCAAATATTAAGTAATTAATAATGATATTAATTTATTGATGGGTTTGAGCAATTATAATTTTACGTTACAGTTTGAAATAATGCGAGAAAATATATAGCATCACTTGTTAACATTGAACGCGACTATTCCACTCGGGCAATTAATACCAATAGTGTTTAAAACCACACACAAAATGCCTCAATTAAAGCGGTGTATCTCAAAAAGTTTATCGCTTTTTCTATCTGATTTTTCTTACCACTTATACCTTCTGGCCAATAAACAGAGTATGTACTATAACATAATCCCTCTGATTTTTAACATACGTTCCAGTTATTTCCAATATTTGGTGCATTTTGGAACTTTCTTGAACATAATTTAAATCGCAGAATAGTCCAATTAAATATCACTCGGGCTTTGGAAATTCCCTGATAAATTCCCTTCGCTTCGCGAGTCGGGAATTTATCCACAATTTACAAAGCACTCGTGGTATTACCTATGATAAATTTTTCAAGTGGGATTTTGGAAGCGCAGGAGTCACTGAATTAGGTGGATGAAAAGCGCTTCTCAATTGTTATCCTTCATCTTGAAGTTGCCAAATGTTGTGGGAGGCGCCGGCCATTCATTAGCATACACACTCCAGCTCTTCTTAAATACCGACGAATGGAGAAGGCGGGGCGGGCGACGCCGGCTGGCAGAGCGGTTCGGAGAAAGAAGCGGGCGTTTTTTTAAATAGATGATTGTAATAAATAAACGCATGGGCAACGCCGAGCAATCGGCTAGTGCGTGAATAAATGCAGGTCGTTTGTTTTATTACCTTCAATAGAATAAAGATATGAGTGGTTCGCAACCATAACAGACTAAGTCCACTTTATACGAAAATTGTTACATTGTGAATGAGTGGTCAAAACATCATGTTCTTTCCCTGTCGTAGTGAATCAAGTTCTTTGTTTTCATACTTGCGCAGAGCGTTTATTTTTATTATATTACTTCACCGGAATTGATTTCATGTTGCAAACTGTGAAGCTCAATTTCGCAAAGTCATGCCAAATGGATTTCGTCGATTTTAGTTACGAACCTCTGATATACTTCTTGGGCTGCAATAGTAGCATACTTGAAAAATATGAATTTTCAGTTAATGCAATTTCCAGAATTGCATATTGGTTACCGTTCCAGTGTACCTTCCTTCCTAACTACACCCCGCCAGCAAATGTCAGAAGTGGGAATGAAAGAATGCAGAATTTCAATACAAGGTGCAAACTTCACACTCATTTAACTCAACACTTACACTTTTCAGTTCTATCACTATTGCAGCCCATGAACAAAATGTTGTTTACATGGTTCCCTTCTGCAGCACGCACATGTTCCCATCCCTACGCGTGCCTTTCTCTGCCTTTCGATCCAGCGCGCGCCATCCCCCTTTCCACGAACCAGATGGCTGGTCCACCTCTCGGGGGAGGAGGGGAGGGCAATCACTTGCGCGTGCCCCCCCCCGCTCACGTGGGCCCCACCCC